AGGTACGCCGCTGGCACATGCGCAACACAACAAACATATAGTCTAGACTGAGGATGATGCGGATATGCGGTTCACTGTGGAGTAGTGGCGGCATGAAGGGCCCCCCAAATGCACGAAACCGGTCGCAGAGAGAGAGGGAGAGCCAAAACATGCAACAGCGCCCTCCCCGCCCAACGCACAGCAGCAAAAGCCGCATGCATTTGAATCATCAAATAGATCAAAGGCGTTGCATCCCCGAGAGATAACTCTCGATCATGGTTTGCATGGGTGTTTTTGAACGCAAAATAGGGGAGGGTGAGAGAGACGAAGAGATCATTTTTTTTTTTTTTCCTAGTATCACACAACAAATCTCTATCTTAGAAATAAGTCTAAGATAGATTAGCAACGAATCCATAGCGTGAGCGAAAGGCTACCTGTATGTCTACGGGTTCCCAGACAGCATACAACGATATCTCCCCTGTGGGTAACTTTTTCTGTTTTTTTGAGCGTGAGAAGAGTGTTGATTAATAGTGTGGGTGGGTATCCGGCCTTCCGTGCTGTAGATCGATTCATGCTGCCCAACCACGAGTCTACATAGAGATTAAGTGGCCTAAAGGCCACTTGTTACGCTGTCTCTTTTTGGGTTGTCCCTTTTCGAAAAGGGACAACTGACCAAAAACCACTTGTTACGTGGTCTTTTTTTGCGTTTTTGAACCTCCCGAAAAGGGACAGCGAAAAAAGATCACCCCATCCTGTCCCTTTTTGTGCAACTTTGTCCCTTTTTGAGAAAAGGGACAGCCCAAAAAGAGACAGCGTAACAAGTGGCCTTTACATGCGAAAATGGGGTCTACAGGGGTCGTGACAGATCATTGACTGATCGTTTGCAAATGCTGGTTTTGTGGCATGCCATGGAGTTGCCGCCCCGTATTCCTCCACGCCAGATGTTAGGTGCGCCTTCATTATTCGCATCGACCGCGCTACCCAGTGACCAATGAAAAGGCGTTAGTGCCAGCGGGTAACATCAAGCAAGGTACCTGGAACGGCCAGACTTCAAAAAATGCACACTGCTCTAAATGCGAATGCCACCATGAATCATACCCTTTCACAGAGAAACGCATCAACAGCTCCACATACATGCCCTCGCCCGAATCTAGGAAGCCACGAAAGCAAGACAGGACAGCGAAAAGGGGCACTTCAAGCCCAACCAGGGCAGGATATAACCGCAGGAGGGGGTCCAGCCCCCCCTCCTATGTGACCCCGGTTGGGTCGTCTAGCTAGTAGAAGTGGAGGATAGGGGCCAGAGGGGCAGACGACAGAGTCCAATGATGGGAGAAAAAAAAAAAAAAGTGGTATGCTGCAAATCCTCCAAATTTGAAAATCGTACACTCCGAAGATCCAGCAGTCGTCATGTCAGCAGCTAAACTACACAGCAGCAGCAGTAAGACGAGTCCAACATGCAGCAGTACTGTGGTAACACAGACACTATTGTCATTGCCCCAACACATACCCTCTCTCGAACCTAGAGAGCCACTGATGCAAAGGTAGGTGTTTACTGGTGTGCTTGCGTGCTTGTGGGAATTGTGGGAAAATCGCAGGAGCTGTAGTGAGCCGGCAGGGCTCACATTGGGGAGGGGACAGAGAAGTACAGAAGTACAAGAACCAGGTATGGGTCCACAAGCCCTCTCACTGATCATTTGAATATACTGAATATAGAGTAGTTTAGGTGGCTTGACGACTGATCTTTTCGAGGTCTACAAGCCTAACCTGCCCTACCGGCTGCACCGCGACCACACATCAACCCTTCTATGACCCTGTCTGTGCCCACCGTCCTGTCGCGGGCAGCCCTCATGGCCTATGGGTGGAGATAACTGTTGCGTCTACAGAAGTACACTCGCATCTTTATGCTGCACTTCTGTCTCTCTCTCCCGCACTCTCTCCTCCCTTCTTATTTTTTTGCCGCAAAAGGAAGAAAGAGGTACATGAGACCCAAAGGGGTTAAACATGATGGGAGTCGTTTTGCACACCAAACGACAACAGCAAATATACCACATCGTGATCACGATCAAGCTACGTATTGACGCGTAGTAGGTTTCCTTCTCTAATCGCAACTAGCTTGTACCCCGGCAAGGGGGGCTTGGCTGTGTTGGCCAATCAGCATTTCCTCTCCCATCAGAGGGAGATGCTACATGAAAACCAAGAGGAGCAATACCACCGGACTGCAGTAAATGTCCCCCACGGGGGACCTCCACACACAGAACAATCTTATTCTTCGTCTGAGCAACGGGCAATAGAGGCCCAGCCCTTGAACAATTTCAATGTCTTCCCGATGAAGGAAAACAACGACTGATCTCCAAGTACACAGTTTTTGCTTTATTTTGATCGGTTTCCGAGGGCTCTTTTCTCAAACGGTCGGTGCGGTACCTGTTATTTCCTATTAGTCATTTTGTTTTCTTTTTCCGAGTGGTTCGTACCCTATTTTTGTTTTGTTTCCCCGCGGCGTCGTATGTGCCGGGTTTTTGAGACCACGGGCTCCCCATTTTTTGTGGACTATAGAGCTAATGTGAGAAACAACAACAACAACAACAACAACAACACACTAGAGTTGCCGTTTTCGGTGCCTGCTGCAGCATATCCCAGAGGTGAAAAAGTGTTACTGGGAGAATAATATTTCAACATTGACGATGTGGCGGAGGTATTGCATTGTTGCATCATGTCGGTCGCCCCGGTGGTCTAGAGGTCAGGTCAGGGGTTCGGATCCCGGCGTAAGCGAGCTTTTCTTGCAAAGTGAGTTTTTCTCTCGCTTCCGCTCTTGGCCTAGTGGATAGCGCTAGTTCGTGTGTACACAGAGGGAATAGGTGCTGAACTCTTCTCGCATTAAAAATGGAAGGCAAAAAACCGCAGGAGGGGAGGGTAGAGAGGAGGGGCTCTTCTGTGTGACCACGGGTTGAAAGTAAACGGCACCAGTGCTGTGAGCGCTGATTTGAAGTGATGACATGTATATATATATATATACCCTCTTCATGGTTTGCTGGCGTTCTCCTCGAGTCTCGTCTTGTATCTCCCCCCCCCCCCCCC